TTGTCCTCGAGCTTTTTGAGCTGGGGACAGCGCATAACCTTGTGAAATCAGAGATGGTAAACCTGTGTCTGGTGGTTGAATGTGGCCCACAGGTGTACTTCTGTGGTGGTTGTTTGCCCTGAACGGGGCTTTAAAACATTTGGAGTCAATATTCAAAAATTGAGATGTTTTGCTTTTTTTTTTTAAATTCAATTTCAAGTTCCTGTTTGAAAAAAAACCAGAAGATTTAGCAGCACTTGGGCTGCGTTCCGTATATAAGATCTCTCAGCTGGGTCTGAACACCATCGCCCCTTTAGATAGGGCATGTCACATGCAGTTTGCCACAGTCGCCCCTACTCCAAATTGTCTCCCCAACGTCAAAGCCAGGGTTGCTTGCAGTGGTGTTTATCTTATACTAGAGAAGCATTCCTTTGGAGCTATGTTGCTTTTACAACCGGGCAAGGAAGAACTGTGTGATAATTCTTCCCCTTAGTCTCCTCTGTGTTTTCACTTATCTGTCTCGCCCCCACAGGCATTTGAGTTCAAGTAAATTATGGGGATATTTTTAACCTGTAATTTACCTAGCATTTTCCAAAATTTTGGATTCTACAGCATCATCCTTCCAAATTGTGCAAACCAAGCAGAATTAGAAACATCTCATTTTAGCATGGAAGGATGTACATTCAAACCCAACAATAAAACAATTCTTTTCTTTCATCATCATTTCATGAAGTGAAAGGATAGTTTCACACCAAAAATTAAGTTAGATGTAATCACGAAGAAAAGAAAAGGCATCCCCAGGAAAGGAGTCACAGTTGGTTGCAAGTAGAAGGAACCCACTCAAAGCTGGCTTAAGCACCAAAGGGTTTTAGGAAGAGCTTGATCCACACACAATGCCATCAGTCCCTGATGTCTCTCACACTCTCTCTTCCCCTCCCTTTCCCTCTACCTCCCTCCCTCCCTCTCTCAACTCTGCTTCCCTCTGCATTGACCTAATTCACAGGTCAATTTTCCCTGGAAGCCACAGTTGCTCCAGAAGCTCCAGGCTTGCATCTTCACAGCTTCAAATCCAAATGGAAAGGGAGCAGTCCTCTCTCCCTTGGTTATTTGTGCCAAGTTCTGAGATAAGCTCAGTTTTTATTTACGTTTGGCCATTATGGCCCAATCACAGAGCTGGCAGTGCTCTGACTGGCCAGAGTGAGTCACATGCCCTTGTCCTGGGGTGGAATTAGTTTGCCTAGACCACATGGAGTAGATGGTCAAGAAGGATGGTTCCCCAAGGAAACCCAAGTTCTAGTACCAGAAGAAGGGGGAAAGAATGCTTGCTGGGAAAGCATGAAATTAATTAATTATTAGGTAAATAAATAAATGTCTCCTACTGGGACCTTGCATCATGAGAAGTGTTTGCACATTTTTCTTTTTTTTTTTTCATTTCCCCAAGAACTCATGAAAACGTAGACACCATTCAACATTTGAACATCTGTTTTAACACAGTCATTCACCTCCTACCAAGAGCTGACTTGCAGCCACTAAAAATGTGCTTTGTTTGAAATTGCTATAGACATCAGACTCCACAGAGAAGGCCAGCACACCGCCAGAGCCGGAGCCGGAGCTGGCCACAGCAGGCCAGAAGGGGAGAGAGGGCTCCTCGAAGGACAAGAAGTCGCCAGCCGAGATGAGCAAGCAGAAAAGCAACAAGCAAGAAGCCAAAGAACCAGCCCCGAGTGTGGAGCAGTGCGTGGTGGAGGTGGACTCACTGCAGAATGGGGACAAACCCCAAAAAAGACCCAAGAAGGGGCGGCAGTCCCTTGGGGGCTTCCTGAAGGGCCTGGTAGGTGGGCTTCTGGACTTTCACAAAGGCACAGGCTGGGGAGGGGGCTGGCTGGACGTCTGTCAAATATTTATTGAGCAACTATGGTGTGCCCGGCACTGAGTTAGGCACAGAGAGCAAGAATGACACGGGCATTGCCATCCTGGAGCCCAGAGGCCAGTGCAGGATTGAGAGGGGAGC